TATATATATATATATATATATATATATATATATATATATATATATATGAGTGTGTGTGTATGTGTGTGAGGAGTATATATTTCTTTGTTATGCAAGCGTCTCTATATTCGGATGATCTTGTCGAGTATTAGTTTCTCTCATAACGCGAGGTATAACAGGAACGCACAATCATGCGTTTTGCGGTGTCGTGTTCCGCGTACAGAGATAGCAATGCGAAAACCACGAACTAACCGACTGGTTTGGTGGCCCACATTCAATATTTGAATAGTATTCCGACAGTTACAGTATGTTTATTGCTCAATCTGTTACGCAATGCGTATAGAGTACCCATACCACTACCACTGTCGCGATGCCAATGCAAATTTGCGAGTGAACTCGGCGATTTTTGCCTCTTAATTACACGTAAAAATGTGTTTATACATAATGAAAATACATAATGAAACTTTTACGAACGAGTCCGTACAATGTACGGTAAATCCAGTCATTAGAAGGCTTATTTAACTAAATTAATTACACTTTGTGTTTACTACATTTACTTCGTATCAGAAAGCCTCTTGTGAAGTAAAGAGGCTCTGCAAAAATTGCATCTCGAGAGATCTCGGATGCGGGTTTATCATTTAAATAATGGGTTTCAGCATCAATACCCTCACTATACGATCACTGGATATTATGCTCCCCCAAGACAAGGACTGCGCTCACGCTCTACCGTCGGCCTTATATACGATCAATAATGTATCTTGCTCTCGAGAAGGGTCTGCCACCTCTTGGCAGACTCGGCAACTAATACAAGCGTACACTACGAAGACTTGAAATATCCACCTGTTTCCCGTGTCATTGCCTTATCGTGTATTTGGAAATTGGTCTGACTACGGAGAAACGTCATAACAATATGATTATATCGAGACTCTCATCACACTCTTACTTTCGAAAAATCAGCTACACTTTGAGCTTGAAGTGTCTGAACAGTCAAATCAAGATTTATCCACTGCTTTTTACATGACGTAATAATTCATTTCGATTAAGAAAAGTGTGATCGAACGAATTTCTTTTGTTCACTTTCTGAATGAAAGATGACGAGCTATGTTTCGTTCACGAACGATTTTCAGGCCACCTTGGCTGCGCCTGAGCGACGCGCATGTCATGGGATCATACGCAACTGCATACACACAAGCTCAATATACTCGTGTCATTACTGAAAGGCAATGATAAGTCGGAAACGTGTAATTATAGCTCGCAGTTCATATTTATTCAAAGTAACAATAGGTGAAACATCTTCAATTACAGCCGGCAATTTAGGCGTTGTCGAGCTTAATGTGCCTGTCCTAGTTGAAGATCCATTCTTACGGGATATCACGCAATCCAGTGAAACTCCTCGTCATGTATTTTCAATATTGTCATCGTCACCTGTTTAACAAGTCAAACGAATGTCAAAAATACTTATCGCGCTGCGTTCGAGGAAAACGTGCGCTTTTCGTCTTATATTTTTCGCTTCGATTTCAAGCACCGGAAGATACGTTCCGGATGACGAGCGATACAGCAACCGGTGATGCAGCAGTAGTCGGCGAAAAAGCGACAAACTGTCCGGAATCACCGGCCGTCACGTGAACCTAATCTATGCGTGACGTCACGCACACACGCGTTCTCCTCGGGAGAATCGCGCGCACGTAATGTAATAACGCTTCAATTTCATCGTTCTCGCTTAATGAAAGATGTCACTGAAGATACGGCAATTTACGTAATAACCGGCCGTTAAGTAGGAGGCTGCCGCGGTTAAGCCGCTGACGACTTAGAAATCCGCAGAAGGATAAGCTTCGACCTTACACGGCGCTCTTTTTTTATTTTATCCAGAATGAGTAGTTGGTCGAGGTGTCCGAGGGGGAGACTCGGCTGAAGAAGCGTCACCTTGGACGCTAACAGTTTGTCACTTTTGTTATTGTTGCCGCTCGTCGGAACTTCACTTACGTCTTCGGAACAAACTCCCCGCGGTGTCGAGGAAGACGTGCAAGCGTAACATCGCCCATAGAGCGATAAGTCGAACACATAGCCCTAGATAACTCGTACAACTTTTCTATCTCAATACTATACAGTTTGTCAGCGATAAGCGTCTGTGATGTTTCATCTGAACGGATGCCTTTGTTGAGACATAGATAGACGCTCTCTCTATCGCTCCAGAGAATAAACTCGAAGACAGAGATAACAGGGACTTTTATTTTCTTTTTGTAATCTTAGATAAACTCGAACTCGTGATTCGAGTAGGACAATGAGCGAAGTAATTGAGAGTTTACTTCAGATTTTTTAGACTTGGGGCTTTGAAGAAAACTCTCTCCGAGTTTCGCACCCGCGGCGAGCTTCTGTTCGCCGATCGCTTCTGTGTCGAGTGTCCCGTGACGTTTCTGACTCGAAGGCATTTCGCTTCTGAGTTGATTTTTAGATTCACATTATGTAATCAGGTGCGACATGTTTGGCATATACCGTTTCGCGCGACTCACCGAGGGACTCGAGGAAATAATCGTGCGGAGTCCTTCGCGCGCGAAAGATCATTGCGTGATTGTGCGTGGTACCATATAAATTATGAAGTCGAATGCGGTAGATGTAAAGTAATCAACAGATAACGAATATCTATATAGAGTGTAGCATACGAAGGTAGATCGACAAGTAACGACTTATTATCATTCGTTTTATCAAGATGCAGTCTCCGATGGAATCCCGGACGATATGTTAGCGCGAGGCGACATAAGTATCGTCATAATGTCCGCGCTTTCCCATTATCACGGCGACGTCCCATTTGTCCTTATTTCCCTCTCGCCTCTTTCCCTTCTTCAAGATTATCCCCGACGAAAGCGTTATTGTTTATCATGTCGATCTCGCGTCTTGTCGATCGCGTGCGCTGTCATCTCGCGTATTTCACTACTGGGACCTGATTCTGGAGAAAAGATTCATTCCGTACGACTCCATCGGCACGATATCACCGATAGGGGTGCTCGCGTTTGTAATTAATAAATTTCGATTTATTTTGCGAAGGAAAGCACGACGCGACGAGACGCGATTACGCGCGCTAATCAATATTGAATGCTCGCTGCTGCACCGTTATGTATTTTTCTTACCCGCCGTGCACGGCGATGCGGGATCGCGTGCGCACCTTACAATTTACATCGCGTACGCGCGACTCGCCAGAGAAGTCGAGAAGAACGACCGTGAATAATAATGCATTGGCTATTAGTCGTTCTGATGAACAAACACCTACGCGTTGTCGCGTTACGGCGCGGATTGGCAAGTACTATTTAGCCGCTGCAACATGAATGGTCCTGTCAGATTGGTCGTCAACAAAAAGCTCCACAGATGCAAAGGTCCGGTCCAATCTTCCTTGAGTCGGCGAAGACGACACGACGGGTCGGCCCATAGCGATATGGATATTTGGGCCGATGAAGACTGAGCAAACGGAAAGGCGCTTCCTTCGTCGCCATCCTGGGGACAGGTCTGCAGAATCGCAATGACGATTCCAAATGGCTCGCATGTAAAAGCGGCGTGTACGAACATACAGTCACGCTCGTTCGCGCGACACACAAAAGAGACAGCGCCTTGTCACGGTCCGCTCTTATCTGCTAACAGGAGATCGTCACGAGTTCTGATTCCCTCTCCTTACCTCTTCACCCCTCTCCTAGCATCGGCGAGGTGGGATTTATTCGTGCGTTATGTTGGATCTAGTCAAATCAGTCGCGAGGTATTGCACCTGCGTGGCGAACCGGAGCAAAAGTCGCGGTGTGTCGTACGTGTGCCTGATCGTGAAGAGCGGGAGCGGCGATTCGCAATCACGAGGTTTGTCCCTTTTCTCCGTGCATGGTGAACGCATTCACGGTGAACCTTCTGCCACCGGGCAGGTTCCAGTGGGCTGCCGCCGCAAAGCCCGGAGCTGCGTGAAAGTGTGCGCGACGATGTGTCAGTCGGTCGCGAGGATCGTCGTAAGGGCGCCGATCGATCGATCGATCGATCGAGAGGCGTGCAGGAATGTCTCCTGCCGCCCTTTGCTTTGTTAATTGCCTCGTTTATTGGCGCTAATTCGGTTGAGGGGCCGTCTGCGACGAAGATGCCCCGTTGGCCGAAATGAGCGCCGCTCGTTTGCGTTTTCTTGTTTGCTCGTGGCGCCTTGACGCCTCGACACGATTATCGGCACCGTGGAAAAATCTTAATTAGCCGCCTGTCAAAGGCGACTAATGAACTGAACAAAATGCGTGTCTGCATCGTCCGAGGATGTATTCCGAGACATACACACGCACACACACACGCGTGCACGCGCACTTGTGTGTGCGTGCACACGTGTGTAAAGGCCGAAGTGGCGGTGGTTGCTGTTTGCTGTTCGCCGGTTGCTCGTTGTCGATTTACATTTCGCGATCGCGAGTTTTCTTCGTTTTCTTCATCGCTCCACGAGAGCCACGGGAAAAACACGTGCTCAATATTACTATATCACTTGATAGGTCGCAACGTGTCATCGCGATCGCGAGGATTGTCTCCGGTTCCTCGAGGTTCGACGAGGCTGCTCCTGTTCCTTCGAATTGTGAACATATGTCGCAACTCGACGTTGTTACGCAACACGAAAGTGTCTTGGAAAATTCGCGTTTTACAAGTTTGGGAAGAGATTAATAAGAGACCTAGTGTTCAAACTGAAGTTATTCTCTCTTTCTCTCTGAAGTTACCTGACATTTAATTGATAATTAGTGTTAACCTGGGGATTATCTGGGATTGCTGAATTGGACCTGCCGAATAAGACATCAGATTTTTTTTCCAGGTTGTCATCAAATAGAAATTAATCGGATTTCGCGCGAAGCGGAGCGACGATTGATCGTCCTCGTTAGTGCCGTCGTGAATTGAAGTGTTTTCGCTTCAAACACAGCCGGCGGTGAGGAGAAGCTTAACATAGCCCGCGCGGACGATAGCCGCGCGTATCGTCTTTCGTGTGAATTTAATCTTCGCGCAAGAGTACTATTATCTGGCGCGCGTGACTGATATTGCGCGTTGACCACACGACATACCTGACCGGCTTGAATTGATTCGAATGAGCATCTGCGCCTCCCTCTCTCCCTTCCCCTCTCTCTCTCTCTCTTTCTTTCTTTCTTTCTCTCTCACCGTGCTCTTCCCCTCTCGTTCTCTCGCGAGCATGTTACAATGAGCGAGCTCATCACGAGAGCTTTCGTTCTCCTCTCTCGTCGCTGCGCCTCTTCGTGGTGCTTCTCGTTGTTAGCTTGGACTTGCTCCACCGTTGTTGAATCGGACCCAACAACGAGGCAAGTCCACGAAGACATAACGTGCGCGCTCCGCAGTCGCGACTCACTATTGTACTCGCTCGAATCCGCTCGCGCTATTGTTATGTAATTTTCTTTTCCTCTTTCCACAGGCGGTGCGTAACGCGCTAATCACCATCGCACCGGTGCTTGCAGCTGATTCCAGGATCTGTGTTCGTGTGTGTGTGTGTATGTGTGTGTGTATGTTGTGTGTGCATATGCGTCATCACGAATGAGTCAATATATTTTCATGCTGTTTCCACCTGTTTGCGATTCTCGTCGCGCGTGTCCGCCTTTACCAATTAATAATAATTAAATCGATGCCGCAATAACACGATCGAGCCGATTACTTCGGTAGCGCTGTAAGCCCGATAGGCGAGTTCGTCCAGAAAAATCGCGTTGCTTCCGCCGAATGTTTATTATTCTCCAGTGATGATCGACAAGCGAACATCCTGATCTCGTGACCGACGCGGACATCACGTGGTCCCGTTGTTTTTGCGGAGTGAAACAAGTGCCGTCGATTTTCTGGATTAGTGCAAATCGCCGATTTACACGTTGCTGTCGGATCGGTCAGAAATTAGGCGTTTTTGGTTCGTTAGATTGGATTGCCATGAGGAGAATATTTCAAGATGCAAATGTATACAATTAAAACATCAATTAAAATGGAGTACATAATCACTAGGTGCATTCGAGATGTACGACAGCTCCGGGTCGCCGTACAAATTAAATCAATGGCATGACATTGACTGATACATCGAACTAATAACCATGAGTCATTGTTCATCGTTATGTAGGGCGTGTGACGACCACGACAGTAGTTTTCTTTATATTATTATACGAAGATGCCTCTTGAAAACCGTGAGTCATTCCGCATCGTGTGTCATATAGAGTAGAAGCTTGGGCCACCACGAAGCTGCAGCGCCGTTATCAACGCATACCGGGATAATTGCTCGTAATTAAACGATAACGCGCGCCGAATATTCCCGTCGATCGACAGGCACGAACGATGTTTAACGAGACGTGTCAGAGGAGAGAGAGGCCTGTTTGCGGCGGGTATCTCGTGTTTTCATTGCGGTGCCCGATGGAGCTCGGTTTCCTTTCTGCCGAGAGGAAGGAGCTCGTTTATCGTGCACTCTTTCCTTCACGAAACACTTGGATAATCAGTAGATGTGTAATTCGTGTCTACAGCTGTTGTCTCTTTTCACGCGAGCGAGTCCCTCGTGACGCGATTTTACGGAAATCGCGCCCCTTCATCCGTGGCAGATATACAGCTCGTTACGTTATTCGCTGTCATCGCTCGTTGTTTATCCCGATTGTTATCGTGTTATCCGGTCGACAAGTGCGTCCCTCTCTCTCTCTCTCTCTCTTTCCCTCTCTCTTTCTCTCTGTCTCTCTCTTTCTCTCTTTGTCTGTCTACCTGTCTCCATCTCGCTCTATCTCTGCCGTCGAATAACAATCGTCGGGATCGGCATCACGTGAATTGCAGTCGCGCCGAGCTCATAACGTCGCGAGTACGACGAAGAACCTGTTGCTCCAAGTTTATTAGGGTTACAAACTATCAACTATGTACGAGTGGTCGCCCGTCGCTTGCCCTTTCTCGCTTTCTCCTTCTCTCTCCTTCTCTCTCTCTCTCTCTCTCTTTCTCTCATACACTCTCTGATGTTTATCGAGTTCTTCATATTTTTTCTTCCCCGCCTGTTGATTGTTAAATTTTCCTCCAGCAAGTTTGCGCTCTCGGCCCCGCGCTCTCAACACTCCCGTTCTCGTTTACGGTCTCGCGATTTCAGTGACAATTATCAATCGTCCATTTACTTTCGCCGTTGCTAACGCAAAGGCCCGGATATCTCTACAATTTCACAGGAAACCAACGCCCGTCCGCCGTCAATTCACCGCGGTTTGATCCTTTTACCGCGTTTTCGCGCACGCAACTGCTACATACCGCGTCCACGAAGCTGTATCTAATCTTCATCTTTCGCGAGAATAAAATCAGTATATCTGTGTTATACATGTAATGGTTTAGAGATTATAATTTTTGTAACTTGTCTCATATTATGCGTTATGCGGATATTAATTATCCGCAGCTCCAATATGTCCCAGTGACAGTTAACTCAAGTGTTCGTTGCATATTCACGTTGCTTTGATAGATTCGCACATATTTCTCTCTAATGAATAAATAATAATAAAGGAGACATGTGTATCGCGTCGGAGTTATACTCGTTATGCCGTATTAATCCGTTACGATTAGAGACAATCGATTCGTTGCGCGACACGACATAATTCATTTCGTGCTCGTCAACGCGAATGCTGGATTAAGCGGTCGAACCTTGAGATATTAATTAGTCGCGTTGATAACACGTTAGTGCTTCGATGTCCTCTTTAGAATTCGCCACGGCGATAAGCTAGTCGTCCAGAATCGTCCGGAAGAACGACGACCAGTCGTCACTCGTGTGTTTCTCGTTTGTGAGATCGATTCCGACAAAACTTAACAAAGGTCGTTGATATTTTCCGAAGGAGTGGCTCGTAAGCACGCGGATAAGTTCGAAATTTCAGTTAGGCGTCGTAAGCCTCGATTGCGTTGGAGTAATTTTTCTTTTTTTGCAAACGAACTTTGCACTGTGAGACGGTTTTATCGCGAGGAGTTTCTTATCGACGCATTCTTGATCGACTATTACAAGTAGTCGTTACCTTCCCTTATCAGATGTCTTATCAAACAATTACCTAGATCACGGCTGCAACGCCGAAACGAAAATATTGTTTTCCGTCGTACTTCTACGAAATATCGTTTCTATCACGTAATAAATTCCGCGAATGAAACATCACTTGTATTAAAAACTCTTGTATTGGAAATTCTCAATGTATACTTAACTAACACGTATTTATTAAGCTAATAAACGCGCGAGTAATCGCAACGTGTGCGCAAGCATAACTAACGGCAAAAAGAGTTGCTAACGCGATTCAAAAGAGATATGTGTAGAAAAATGTGTTCAAAAGATATACGTAATTTATTAGTAGGACATTAAATGCATATAGATTGAGTGCACTAATACATTGTATTAAGTTGACATTGATTTTGTGTTTACTTGTATACTTCAAAATTGTGTCCCACTTGAGAAATATCTCCTTCGGAACTTTATCGAGAGGGGGAGACATAGTTCTTAGTGGTTCGCCGGGATCTCTCTCAAGTAGTGATAAGTCAGTCAACGTATCTCGGGACGTAGCTTCGTGGTTCATGCGAACCATCGTTACACCGAATTCACGCAAATTTGATCCCGCGCACGCCGCATGTAGTTTATGCCGCGTAATATTAACCAACGAGCCGCATTCCAAAGCGTTCGCGCAATATCCGAGCCGTTCTTTCGCTCTCTCGCCGGTGAATGCGATAAGAGATGGAGAACAAAATTTACCTGGCGAGGGTGCACACAAGACAATAAGAAAGAAAGAGAGAGAGAGAGAGAGAGAGAGAGAGAGAGAGAGAGAGAGAGAAAGAGAGAGAGAGAGAGAGAGAGAGAGAGAGAGTATGTACCAATGCAAGTGTATCACTTTCGTTTGCGTGCAAATTTATGGAGCGTCTCGCTTATCTTGCGCCCATGTTTATCGTCGCGTCTCCGCCTACATGGAAATAGCGCCGTAAAACATTTCGTTTGAGTTTTGCGACGATTAGATTGCGCCCGGGTGCACATTTGCGCGCGCCTCGCAACGACGTGCCGCCGTCTAATTATAGTTGTTCATTTCTTAACGTTGCATACGACTCTTCAGTCAGAATTCGTATTTGCCGATAGATAAGATGCGTTACACGTGTATATACTCTTCATATAGCGGGAGTCTCTTCGCAAACGCGTCGCACCTATGAGAAAACGGCACAAGCGAGCTCGCCAAGGCCGAGTGCGAGTAAGAAGAGACGCGAACGAAATCGCCAGTTTTTCCGCTAATAAGCAAAACCTTTTTCCGTCCGAAACTTTTGCAACAATTCGTATATTACTTTCGATATACTTTCTCATTTCTTTTTTTTTTTCCTTTACTCGCATACCTTCGCTCTCTCTCTTTCTCTCTCTCTCTCTCTCTCTCTCTCTCTCTCTCTCTCTCTCTCCCCCTCTCCTTTCTCTTTCGCTCGCTCATTTGCTGAGAATTTATTTCTCACCGTATTTGCTACACAGGCTGCAATTTATAGGGAATATTATTTCTCGCCGCAGGGTAAGGAATAAATCGTTTCCAAGATGGGGGCGATGTTCAGGAGCGAGGATATGGCCCTTTGCCAGCTGTTCATTCAGCCGGAGGCGGCTTACCTTTCCGTTTCTGAACTTGGCGAAACCGGTACGGTGCAATTTCGCGATGTAAGTTGGATTAGATGTGATCGCCATTCGTAGCCTCATTTAGCGTAATTCTCGAGTGCTTAGCGCGCAACAAGCGACGATGATGCGGCATTGACCGGCGTCCCGGCCTCGAATACTTAAACGTAGAGATGTAGAAGAGAAACATGACGAATTTGCGATTCGCTTGTGAAATCTCGGCTCGACGTCTCTCTAAAGCGTCGGTGTATAAATTTTGCCGCACCATGTACGAGCTTAATCGGCGCTACTTCCTGCGATTGAATCGGAAAACAACGTTAAACTACGGCATTCTGTCTAGCTGAACGGCGACGTGAATTACTTTCAACGGAAATTCGTCAACGAGGTCCGGCGATGCGACGAAATGGAGCGCAAGCTTCGATACATCGAGGCGGAAGTGAAGAAAGACGACGTGCCGATCCCGGATGATCTTACGGAGCTACCGCGCGCACCCAACCCACGCGAGATTATAAATCTCGAGGTAAGATCTCGTGACGTGAAGCGTGACGTTTCGCACATCATCGCAGTTTTATTTCGCGCGCACATTGCGCCGTCGATTTGCTCTTGCGGCGCTTCTTCGGCGGCTTTGAAGGCCGATTTCACGATGAAACATCGTGACGATTGCGAAGAGATGTTGATGTCGTTATCACTTTCACTCGGGATCGACTTCATTCCCGATCGATTCAATCGTATTCCCCCGGCATTCTAGGCGCATCTCGAAAAAACGGAGAACGACATACGAGAGCTGAGCCAGAACGCGGTAAATTTGAAGAGCAACTATCTCGAGCTGACGGAGTTACAGCATGTACTCGAGAGGACACAAGGGTTCTTCACGGAGGTACCTTAAAGTAGTTCAGCAGCTTTTGCTCGTTGCGCGCCGTCCCTCTTCGTGTAATCGATGTTTTGCCGAAGAATCAAGATTCGTTTCTTCTTCTTCTATATCAACAGGAAGAGGCCAACGATTCGATCACCAGGGCGCTCATCAACGAGGAACCGCAGAATCCTGTCGTCACTACACGTGGACGCCTCGAGTGAGTTACCGGTTTTTTTTTTCCTTCCTCTTTTCTTCGCGGACGACACTCGTTATTAAATAAGTCGGGCTGCCTCGCGTGTTTAATTTAACGATAACGTATCACGCGCGTGACGTTACGCTTTAATAATGTTAAAAGGACGCTTTTGTGTGCGCACACCCATTCTGGTGACCCGGAATAAAAGATTGTTAAACTGCTAAAATTATTATTACTGCTACCATTGCACACAACCTATTTAGCGCTAAAGGGTGTTTCGATCTTTGATCACATTTTGTAGGCGACATTTATTCCGATTTAACGCTCGGAAGGAGACACACAACGAACGTAATGTTCTATTTGCTTACAGATTCGTCGGCGGGGTGATAAATCGTGAACGGGTCCCAGCCTTCGAGAGAATGCTCTGGCGAATATCGCGCGGGAACGTATTTCTCCGGCGAAGCGAGCTCGATAAACCACTGGAGGATCCGGCTACGGTTAGTCCTGATTTTTCTCTCATTCTGACGCGAGAGTTATTGCTCCTCCTTGAATCATAGAGCTCAAACGAGATCCCGAAAATGTCGATGTCCTCAAAGAGAGCGAAACCTGCAGAGATTGAATCGCTGTCTCAGTTTACCGTCGACTGAATATTCCAAATTGTGCAATAACCCGCACGTTAGTCGATGTGCCTGATCCTATTCCTCGGTTTTTCAGGGCAACAAAATCTACAAGACGGCCTTCGTGGCGTTCTTCCAAGGGGAGGAACTGAAAAGCCGTATAAAGAAGGTTTGTACCGGCTTCCACGCTTCGCTCTATCCGTGTCCGACCAGTCCTGCCGAGCGTCAAGAGATGGCAAAGGGTGTTCGAACAAGGCTGGAGGATTTGAATTTGGTGAGATATTGCCGGGAGATGTTAATTTATAGTTATTATATTATATACATAATATTTCGATACTCGAGCACAGATGCACTCGACTATCGAGAGTATCGTCTTTCATTCGGACATCATGTTCACGGTGATCTCTTTGATACAGGTATTGAATCGGACGCAAGATCACAGGCAGCGCGTTTTGCATAACGTGGCGAAGGAATTGCCAAACTGGAGCATCATGGTGCGCAAGATGAAGGCCATTTATCACACGATGAACCTGTTCAACATGGACGTGTCGAAGAAGTGCCTTATCGGGGAATGCTGGGTGCCGGTGTCTGACCTCGCAACCGTACAGCATTGCCTCACGGAAGGATCGGTAAAAATGGACACGTGTCTTCGTCCGATATGTAGTTTGTGAACCGGCAGGTGAATCGATGAAACGTGGAATGCGTTCTTGCAGCGACTCTGCGGCAGCTCCATACCGTCCTTCCTCAACGTGATCCACACGGACGAGAATCCGCCGACGTTCAACAGGACGAACAAGTTCACCAAGGGTTTTCAAAATCTGATCGACGCGTATGGGATTGCGTCGTACCGCGAGGCTAATCCGGCGCTCTACACTATCGTGACCTTTCCTTTCCTGTTCGGCGTAATGTTCGGCGATGCCGGCCACGGTGAGTGAAGGAAGACGACTAAAGAGAAAACGCGATCGTTAAATTTATGTTCACACCATCGCGCTTGTTGTCGCATGTCAGGACTGATATTGACGCTCTTCGCCGCCGCTATGATAATCAAGGAGAAGAAGATCATCGCGCAGAAGTCGGACAGCGAGATCGCAAACATATTCTTCGGCGGCCGCTACATCATCCTCCTCATGGGTCTGTTTTCCATATACGCTGGTATCATCTACAACGACATATTTTCAAAGTCAGTTAACATATTCGGATCTAGTTGGGAGATCTCGTACAACATGAGTACAGTGACGGAAAACCCCGAGCTCCAGTTGCATCCGGGGCATAACTTTAAACAGTATCCATATCCCATGGGCCTGGACCCGGTTTGGGTGCTCGCTCGCAACAAGATTGTATTTCAGAATTCGTTTAAAATGAAGCTGTCCATCATTTTCGGCGTCGTGCACATGATGTTTGGCGTGTGCATGAATATCGTCAATATCGTGTGAGTATTCCATTAATTTTTCATGAAAAAGAGAGTCTCTCCTTTTCTTTCTTTTTTGTAACCATCTTGCGTATCGTGATAAAGAGATGACTCCCATAAATAGACGAGATAGATAAGTAAATAAAAGGTAGAAAATTGCGCGCGAGTGTTGTCACGCATTGCCGGAGAGAACGAGTGGGCCTCGAAATAATCTCGGAGTTCCCATTTCGAGTTAATTCAAGAAGAAAGCGAGAATTTTACATGTTCGTTTTCCCGATCCGAGCAACACGCCGTCGAAACTCGGCCGGATTTTTCGATGACGCTCTCCGTTCACTTTGCTTCATCATCCTGTGATTTTCTTTTTAGAAACTTCAAAAGGTTTCACAGCTTGTTCTTGGAATTCCTGCCACAACTGCTCTTCCTTATTCTGCTGTTCTTTTACATGACTGTCTTGATGTTCATCAAATGGATTCTGTATAACTCTAATGATGACGGTGAGCATTGGTAAATGATTACTACGTCGCGAAGTACCGCCCAATTGTAACACACTGTTAATGTGATGCAGATTCGCCGCGAAGTTCAAAGTGCGCTCCATCAGTCTTGATAACGTTCATCAACATGATGCTCTTCAAGCACTCCAATATGCCGGAAGGTTGTTCCGAGTACATGTTCGAAGGACAAGACATTTTGCAGCTGACTTGCTTCGGCGCCGCTATCTTGTGCATCCCGGTGATGCTCTTCGGAAAGCCGTTATATGTCTTGAGCACGAGAGCGAGTAAACGCAGGAACACGGGGAAGGTGTGCGTAAGTGACTCGCTACCTTGTAGCTTACTTGTAATTATCGATCACGCGGCCGACAAATGAAATGTATCACCAGCTAATGATATTTACATCAATGACAAATATTTGAAGACTTTAGATGTTCTATTTCGCAAAATGTTTGAGAAACCAATAAGAAAGAGAGAGAGAGAGAGCGAGAGAGGGAAAGCTCTATTATTTTGATAATCAAGTATACAAGTAATATACAAGAGAGAAAGAGAGAAGAGCGTGTTGGTTCGTTTTTGCTCCCGGAAAGATCAAAGTATCCTAAAAGCGACGCAGGTTGATGTTATTTTTGCGTGGTTTGTCCAGAGCAACGGAAATGCATCGCAAGAGATCGAAATGCAGAGCGAAGGAGTGCAGACGGCAGGAACCAGCAACGACACGGCGGCCAGCGGCGGCCACGGCCATGACGATGGCCCTTTCAGCGAGCTGATGATCAATCAGAGCATCCACACTATCGAATACGTGCTCTCCACCGTTTCGCACACCGCCTCTTACTTGAGATTGTGGGCATTGTCGTTGGCTCACTCTCAGCTGTCCGAGGTGCTCTGGAGCAAGTTGCTGCGGATGGGTTTGGGCGCCGATGAAGGCGAATTTTTCAGCAGTGTGTTTTTGTTCATATTTTTCGCCGCCTGGGCGTTCTTCACTATCGCCATTCTCGTCATGATGGAGGGCCTCTCGGCATTCCTGCATACGCTTCGACTTCATTGGTACGTATGCCAAGTGTCAAACTGCTCGCGAGAGGTTCGTCTGTTTTTCCTCAAGAGGAAAAGAAAAGAAGAGGTTTTTCCCGTTGAGTCTTGTTTGAGAGGAAATTACGAATCTTCCTAGAAGTTAACTGAAGAACATGTTATTGATTATATCGTATTTCTTTAATAAGAATCACTTTGAGATCTCGTAATTTTGCTTCTGAGAAAGATATTATTTTTGAAAATTGATACGGGGCGAACCCCTCGCGCCGACAGATTTATTCATAGCGTCTTTCGAGTTTTCAAGTCTCAATTATTCAAGCCTCTCGCGCCTTATTGTCTTATCGTTCTGTTATTTTTCCTTGCCACAGGGTCGAGTTCATGACCAAATTCTACGAAGGCCTAGGATATCCCTTCCAGCCGTTTTACTTTAAGAGTATTTTAGATGCCGAGGATACTGAAGAGTAAGCGGCCGCTAGTCCAGACAGCAATAATCGTTAGATAGATATATAGATGTATATGTACACATTTATTGAGTTATACGCGCGAAGACCTCTTTATACATTATGGATATACTTTATACATTATGTATCGAGTATTCTCATATACACGCCTTGTTTCGTTGCCTGGAGGACTAGAGGGAACGGGAGGACCAAACCGCCGTGGATTGTTTTAAATAAGCCTGACAATATGTGCCTTCGGTAATTTTAGCCGTCGATCGCGTGCATGTAACGTGCGATTGGATTAACGCTGCCCGCCGCGCTCGTACCATCCCGACCGCGATTTTTCCGTAATGTTTAAGAGAAAAAGAGAAAACGCAGTTTTTTCCCCACCGACGCGATCAATAGCGCAGGTGGACCGTTCTGTTTTCGCGAAATAACGAGCGAATAAATTGGCGAAGAACGGCGGGCTTGCGCCGTGCCCAACATTAATCCGTCTGATTGTACATCGGTGGAATATGCGTGCGCGATAATCGCAATATCGCAATATAATCGTTTTTAACACATTTCTCCCGCGAACATTTACGCCGTGCGCGCGCGAGCGGAGAGAAACATTTATTTGCGCATTAAATATTTATTGGTATTTGCTTCCGCTCGCAGCCGAATGAGTCGCCGATAGGGAACTGAAAATTTATCCGTTTTCGAATATTGTATAGCTGAGTCACCGCGACGTTTTTATCTGCCTTTATTTCGCGTCGACTCTTTTAAATTTATATTTTTTACGCGGGATTGTTTAATGAAAAGAAGAAGAAAAAAAAGAGAGAAGCCCTTCTCAGCCAGTGGACTAACCGTTTTGTTTGAAACAAGATACGCTTAAAACTGACTTCGCTCGTTTAGTGTTAAGGCTCCTGCTTCCTCTCCATGGCCATTTTGATCAATAACGTCAAAAGCGAGGAAATACATGCTCGGAATTCTTGCGAGGCAAGTGGAAATTACACGTTCATAAAGTAATGCATGTTTGCACTTGCAACTGATTGAGCGGATTTATAAAATTCGCGCTTTGCTCCAAAATAATCAACAAGTAGTAACGAAATTACTGTGATAAAATCACGTAGTTGAGAAGCGCGCAAAATATTTTATGTTGATCTTGCGCTAATTTCACGGCAATTTTTTAGTACTTTGCAAACTTGCTCAATCGAGATTGTCACTTTGTGGGCGTATATTATTTCGACGTATTTCTCGCAAGAATTTCGAGCGTGTATTTTCTCCTTTCTCCGGTCTCATTAATCATCGAGATGATCGTGGCGAAGGACCAGGAGCCTCAAAGCGTCGCGTGTTATAATCGCGGCATTACGAGACGGAGGTGTAAAAAGGAAAATGTAACAGGTGCATGCGCGATTCACAAATCATGCTGCTACTGCTGCTGCTGCTGCTGCTGCCGGTGCTCAGTGCGCATCGTATTCATTCCATTAATTACCTAGTATAGCGGGGACACGCCATAGTCGAATAGTTTGTCCTTAAGCGACGTCGTTTTGTAATGTTTTATCGCAGCGATTAATCGCGACGCGTGCAGCCGTCACCGCGGGAAAAGCGGCGATTCGAACCGTTGTAATTTCGCCCGGTTACACCCAGAAGAAGAATCGTGTTCTCGTCGAGCAAACGCGCTCGACGAATAATCAAGATCACGGAAACGCGTCGCACGATCAATATGCGTCTGATCGATCCGTTGACTCGATAATGAACGATCGTGAGCGGAGCTCGCTTAAGCAGCGTTGGTGCTGCGAACGCGTGGCAATTACAACGGTTCGGGTGTCTATGAAATCAGAGTGGGAGAAACCACCGCGTGCCGCTACGTAGGGTCTAATTAATGTTCGACAGTCTCAGCGAGCAGCGTCGCGAGTGTACATTATATACATATAGAACATAGAATACATTCTGCATTACTGAAGTACAAATCCTCCTGAGTGATGAGTAACCAAGGATATTCGAATTTGCGAGTTACCATTACGACTGTATCCGCCGTGGAAAAGAGCGCGTCGATCCTCTCTAAAATACCGCATGTTATTAAAAATCTCGAATGTATCAAAGTTACATCGAAGCATTAAACCTTTTTTCCGTGATGCTGACTGGCTGTTTTATTGCTGCGTCCTGGTTTATTCACGCGTGTTGTTTGCGGCTGTCAAGTTATCACGTGAATTCTGGAAGTTTTGTTTACGTGAGTTTATTACATATATCGTTAAAGAAGTCGAAGAAGAGAGGAGGAGAAAGAAGAAAATCTGCTCAAAAGAAAGTTGGACAGAAAGAGCGTAAGAAAGAAAGACAGAGAGAAAGAAAAATAAAGAAGGAGAGACAAAAATGAGAGATATGTATTTTAATAATATAAATTTTAATATTCTTGGAATACATACAATTATGTATGTTGATATATAAATAAATAATAATAGTTATGATTATGATTATTCTGTACTAATAATTGTAAATAATTAATATCATTGTAAATTAATTGTATCAATAATCGTTCCGATGAATTATTTACAGTGATATCAATTATTTGCAATAGTATATAAGCCCATTTGCAATCGTCTTCCATTATATGAAGGAAAATTCTCCACTTTATTCACTGTCTTCACGAGAAATTTGAAAATTATATTAAACGGAAGTTCTCATCGAAGTTGCAACATGCTGAGTTGTTGGAGACAGATAGTTCGATTTTTACTTCTTGATAATACATAACATAATTGTCTTCGTTGTTGTCTTATTGTAGTTTTGTTATTAGTTTTTATACGTGCTAGTTGCGAATATAGTTACGTAGTTCTATAACTATATTTAAGGAACACAGCTGGATCACGATGACTTCCGCTGGCGCTGGTGCAGATGCAGACTAGAGTCACTCCAATCAGAGTTTGGCCATAAGGGACTAACTTTTGATTGGTCCGCTATGTTTCGTCAAATATCACACAATATCCAATCATAGTATGCTTATCGCAGTAGGTTAGGTTAGGTTAAGAAAAGATAGACAAGGAGAGAGATTGAAAATATATCTCTTTCTCGCAGGATTTCGACAAAACCGCGCGTTGTCCAAACTCTGATTAGAGTGACTTTAATGCAGACTTGATGTAAACGCTCTGTGTCTTCTCTCTGTTCTGAAAGGCGCAGCGAGATGTTGATTGAAATGAATATTTTCCATAAATAAACGATTGAGAACATGATGTAAATGATATTTGAAATAAAACCACAAAATTCGTATAATACATGATAGTTATATAAGTGATTAGATAATGTGAATATTATATATTGATAATAATTGTGTGATTCTTTAGATTGTTTTTATTTTTTGTTTAATTTATCTTTTATGGTGTGTCGCATATTTACCATATGTAACAAAAAATTATATAGTAACACATTTGACACATTAATATTTATAATTATATACATCCCTAAAACATTTTGTGTAATTGAAGTAGTGTGATGAAATTTTATTATATTAAAATATCAGAGTGCGTCTCAATAGTCTCATGAAAACTGTGTATATTGTACATTATATCATATTTAAAAAGTCTGAGTTTAAAGTCCCGGCCTAACCGCCGTCACGACAAGACATGTTCGAACAAGTTCGGACCTTGTGATTTTTTTGGATCGTGTCTTGAAAATTTCCAAGACTTTGCTCTCGAATTATATCATTAATCGGAAACTGGCGTTGGGGCATTACTCTTAGAGAGGCCTGTAGCCAAATATTGAAGGAAGGAAGGAAGGAAAAATGTCTGAGTAAAACTCTATTCAAGGTATGTGGAGTGTCTAACTGGAGAATCAGCTGTGATATGATTTGGCTGATGCATTCTTAGGAGATAAAAAACTTGTAAGAGAAGCCTTTGCTAAGGGAATTTACATAAAATTAGCTTATAAGTGTCTTGCATACAGAAAGCAATATGATTAGGTGTGTATATATACTTCAATAAAGAAGTAAAAATTTGGATCAACTTAAATTCTTAAATAAAAATAAGTTTATAGTTTCACATATTTTAAGAGATACGGTAAGTTACTATGTTAAATTGTATTGTAAATATATATAGTACAATAATTTTATTATATAAGAAAAAAAGGGTTACGTTTTAAAACCAATTCTGTTACTCGTTACTGGCTAGTTGTTGGAAAAACTTGTTGTTATCATTACTAATTTTGGAAAACTACACATTATTGTTATTCTTATTGAAGATGTAATAAGTCATTACAAAAACTACTAAGTTGATATAGTTTTCACCAAGTTTTGAAGATCCTTTATTTGACAGTTTAAAGTCGCTGATCTTATGTACATATATTTCACATATATTCACAAACTAATCATAAAGTTTGAATTATACTTGTTACTAAATATAATTCTGCTGCTGTTACAATTACATTTAAACAGATTAGTGTTCTTACTAAATAGTTACAGACAAAAAATCACTTGCAACCTTAATGACATTACATGATGGTCACTAACCTTGGTTACATGGAATAGACATATTACATACTCTGTTTAAGTAATTTAACAGTATATAAGTATAATTTCTGTTTCACAGGGAGAAGATCAAGATTAGAGTATATGTTTGCTGCTTCTATAGAGAACAAGTCCAGTTTTTAGAAACTACTTGTGCAAGTACACAATGAAAGTTAGCGGTTTCAAAGATGTTGCAACTTGGAATATTATTACATATACTATACAATATGAAAATAAATAAAAATAAGTTTATTAAATAAAAAAAAACGCATTATTAATAAGATGAAAACTGATAAAAGGTGCTTTTTAGAGTTTCAACAAAATAAATCAAGTTCTTGTATACGTATAGATGATATAATGAAATTGTCACAAGATATATCAAATGATCTTGATAAACTGAATTATATTTTCATTTAAATCATCTTAGAACATGTTTTAAATATTATTTTATGAAATGACTAGGCTAAATATCGCGTATTTGTGTTTAGTAAGGAACAAGAGAAAGAGCGATATATATATACACACATGACATATACAAACTGCTCCTGAGATACCAGTCTGCATTTCACCGATGAACTTTATTCGACTGCTTTGGGATTGAATTTTTAAATCAACGGTTTTTTCAACAAATGTGAGAAAAGATTTTTTTAGCTAAAAGCTAAAATAAGTGTTTGAAATTGAGCAACGAAATGTCATGCCCGAATGGCTCTTGTTTCAAAATATTTGTGGAATAGACATCTATTTTTACAGGACTGTTTTTATTCGTTCAGAAATTCAATTTGATGGCTGTATGGCGAGGTTGGAATGTTGCGATAAGAGCCGAAAAATTTATCCTAAGTAAACGACGCCAGATTATATTGGTCCAGATTTGACCAAAATATTTGGGTCATTATACTTGTAGATAAATGATATGTATACATATATATTTTATCAAAGCGTTATAAGAAATAAACTGATAAGAATATACATCGATATTCGTCTTTTGTCAATCACTATTATCTTTTCTTTGATTTCAGGAAACTACGTTGGAGTTGTTGTAAAGTGTAACACGTATGCTTTATTTAATCGCGCGAAAGTCGTAAACAAACGCTGATTAATTACTTTGGAAGGAAATTGGCAACGGCAGTCACGTTTGCGAAAGTGTAACGAACATTTTATACGTAGAGGTGTTTCCTTTTAAAAAAATTTCGTGCACAAAACTGCACTATCATTTTCATTAGCTTGTTTCCGTGCTTTTCGCATGATTCAATAAATTGACTTGAAAACTGAACGTGGTAGCTGACGATACCTTGATTAAGAGAATGCTTGAATCAAGAATATTAATTATTTATATCTATCGTTTTATTGGTGTTATGCAATTTTCAAAAAACCAACGATATCATTACTCCGTCAATGAGAATGAGACGCAATCACTCACCATTTTCAGACTATGAAAGTCGCTTTTGATCGATATTGTCGAGTCTTCGTTTCATCGACATCCGGGGCGTTTCAAACGCGGAGGTAAGTGGAAATTCGTATGCCAATTTCTTCTAATTAGAGCGATTTGCACGACGAGATGCGCTGCACTCCCCGCGGCATGTAAACGAGCCACCGGGAATTTGCAATTAGGACACGTCCAACTGTTTTACGGCGCGCGTCCGAAGATAATATCAATTTAATTAAAGCCCAGTGACGATAATTAAATCGGCGGAATATACCATGATATGCAAAATAATGCGCAAATTTCAGAAATGATGGCGCTCCTCATGCAGCGTGATATGCGCATAGAGACGAGGACTAATTACACGAACAAGACCGCCAGCAGGATTCACACAATATGCTAAATATTCAGTCAATACGATGATTACGTTTATCGCTGTTGCGGTAAGCACAATACGTTCGCCGCAAATTGATATTGCAACGGCAATTAAAACGTAATTCGTTCGATCCACTTAAATGTCCCCAATCGAGATAGCCGTCAATTTTGGTCATGCGATTTTCTCTCTCTCCCCGATCGCCCAGATTGTTTTTTTTTCTACTTTTCCGGACGTATAAACGTTCTCCGCAAAGCTTACACGAGGCACAAATAACGCTGTCAACGAAGTGCGCTTGTGTATGTATCAAATTGATCGTGGAACCGCCTTTTAATCGACCCGAGCGAAGAGCTCTGTCAATTGTCGAAGAGATATGAAAGTGCAATAAAAAAGTTCCTATCCATCGAAGTGGAAACTCCGGCGCTCTTCTGCTGGAGTTCACACGCGAAATGAAGAGTTCGCTTGAAATTCATGCCTGTTTTTATTGCGTCGGGAAAAAAGAGCGCATGCGGATCGGAAAAGAAAGAAGGAAAGAAGAAAAGAAAGCGTTATTATTAGAGAGTTTTCAGAAGTTTGTTTGTCAGGTCTACTTATTAATCCTTTATTATTAAAATAGTTGAGAACGACGTCGAGGTCGGCGTCGACCAGACTGTGTTTTAGTGAATCGAAGTACATTTATTGCAATTCGCAATTACAATTACAATCGACGAGAGATAATCGTATCAAAACTACCCGCTAACACTTATCTCTAAGAAGCGTCGCAAAGGCTGATCCTCGTGAAGATTCGCAAAGCTGTCTTCGCCGCCGCCGCTTTTGTCGTCGCTTCTTTTCGATAAACGTGACTTTTGAAAACTGGAAGACGGTCTCCGTAGAACTCTATGCAACGCTAAAGCGCCGTGGATCGTTGTACGCGTTCAATCTCGCGAACAACCTGGAAATACATCCGAGAATATTTAAGCGCATAAGAACTGCGTAACGAATTTAGCGGTCTGTATAGAGTTCCACGGTAATAGTCTTGCGTTGCGCGAACAATTCACGCTATTCAGAAAGCGGTTCGATAAGCTACGCGTTTTGGAGGACACGCGCGGGCAGTTTCAAAGATATCTTTAAACAAATCTACTTCATTACTTGGGCGAGTGCAATCTAATCTGCGACGGCATCTGCTTTTCGCACTACAATGGAGCCGTTCGCATAAGTGCCAATTAAAATTAATGGGTGATTAATGGTTTAACTCATCCTTCGTGTCTGCCATTTAACGCGCAGGAAAAGACAGAGGAACGCGGGACTCTTCGCGGTGTAAGTTTCAACAAGCCCGTCGACGTTAAAGATTGCACTTCGAGTTTGATATTATATTATTCGCACAATATATAATATGATTGTCATCGCATAATATAACATGATCGTCATTCTTTATCACGTTGGAAGACCTTTATAACATTTCTAAAAGTATAATACCTCAGTCGCGCGCGCGGAAAATTACCATAAGTCGTTATATGGAGTCGATTTTCTTAGAATCTCGTGCAGGATTAAATCTTAACTTCACCTGATTCGACAGCACAAGGCTAGTTGTCCGGTCTTTGCGGATTCTTGATAAACTTTACGAACTTATGCACAGATTAAAGCCATTTTTCTGCCATTTTTTCTGCCTCTTTCGCGAGCCGAGAACGATCTTGAGAACGCTACGGCACTTTTGCGATGTGATTCTCAGGGGGTCAAATTTGAGGCAACAGCCTGCACCGTGTTTGACAGAGTTGCGCGCGCTGCTGAAGCGACATAGCGTTTTCCGCGATTTAATGGGCGAGCACAGAGCGGGAGTTCAGTCGGCGACGCGCGCTCCTTGCCTTCGTGTGCTTGCCGTGGCATATCCGCTCCAGCATCCCTCGCGTATGGACCTGTGAGCGCTCGATATCGCAGGTGAGTGCACAATCATCAGGGTCGGATTTACTATAAGCTAAACAAGCTGCGAGTCGTGTCATTACGAGTCAAGCGGCGTTCCGGCTTCCCGAGAACGTGTCGTTTTTTTCTTAAGATATCCTTGCGCGTTCTTCCAAGATTTGTGCCAGTTCCAAATTCGAGAGCGTTCACATGACAAATTTAAACGCCCTAGTTTCGCCCTAGTTTCACCCTCCTTACAAAAAAAAGAAGAAAAGAATTGCGGATATCGTGATTGCTTCTTTATTATCTTGATCGTAAGAGAGAAGGTCAAAGATCGTCCTACAATTAATCAGATGCGTTAAAAGAATTATACTTATGGATAATTTGTTCTTAATTAAAATATTGTCAAAACAATAGACGGAGGGTGAGTTCTTGTAAATTACAGTTCTGGATGGCGATATAGTTTCGGTGTGTAATTTCGTCGTTGGCGATCACGCGAAATCTCGGGAATTCGGTCGCGGATGTTGCCACAGCTCGCTGCTGGTTTCGCGTCTCGCGAATTTCGCACCGCGGAGAGAAAAGTCGACGGTGCTGTTAACGTTGCCGTTAATCTGGATTTATGGTGTCGACGTGAATAATGTCGCGTCGAGATGCTGGGCGGTTATTTTTACACCGGACAAGAGACAAGCATGCGCGAAAAATTTGTTATTGTCGGCCGTTGCGTGTCGCAACCTTCAACGCTGAGAGATGCGGAACGGCGAGACTTGTGCAATGAAGCGGGTGAATCTTGCGAGGCGCGCGAGTTCGCAGGTGACACCGAGAGAGAATCCAATGAATTGTATCAGAGACCCGGTAATTGCCCGGCCGTGGTGCGCGATACTTCACCACGCCGGATTTAATTGGGAAGATAAGTCTGCGACGAGTTATCGATGCTGCGCGACGGAATAAATTTCCAGTTCGTTGTCGAGTGGCACTCAGACAATAAGAAAGGACCGGCTGAAATTGGAATTACATAATGTGGCTTATTAATTCGATCCGATTTCCAATAATCCTCGGTAAACCTCGCGAAAGTTTATTCGCGCGGATTCGCACGGATTCGTTCTGATGGATTGGCACCATTGAGCGTATCTGCAAGCTTAATCTAAGCGGAATAAATATCGGGGAAATCTCGCGCGAGATAATTCCTCCGTAAATTGTACGGGCAATACCGTTGTGATATTAACTCGGCGAGGCAAATGAAACGAGGCAACGCGTGGCAACAAATAAAATGAGTGACGCGCGTCCGTTTTGTCAAGCGCAGCTCGCGAGCCGTCCGGCGAGAACTTAACGAAATTTTCCGGAGATGGGATCTCTCGCCGTCGTCGTTAATTCAACAGCGGGGAGAAAAAAAAGAAAAAAATATCCGCGGATGGTCGACGTGACCATTTTTCAAACTTTATGATTGGAAAAACGTTCGGCCGCCGCAACGGGCGACAAAGTTTTTCCATTAGCTAGGGAGAAAAGCGGGACGGCGATTTCAGTGGGATCTCTCGCCCAGGAAGATTCTGCCGGAATTGCATTCTCGCCATTAAGATCATACGTGCGTCTTAAAGCGCTTTGAAAGCCTCCCTTAACCCTTTTATCTCCGCATAACCCTTAAACTTTCCTCGGCCGGTTCATCTCGTCGAAAGTAGTAAGATAAGTCGGATGTAAACGAATTTATTTCCTCGTTGACTTCCGGATTATTCCGGCGTTCTCGTGAGGCAGGAGGAAAGCGGGCGAGGGAGAGAGAGAGAAAGAGAGAAAGAGAGACAGAGGGAGAGAGAGAGAGAGAAATTTTACGACGAGCGTTTCTCGGGCGGGCACAATCCCGCCGTGAACTTTTAATCTCTTCCTTCTCGGAGATTGTCTAACAATGAAATCGCAAGGCTCGTCCGCACCTGCGGCACATCCGTACGAACACATGTGATACCGCGGTATAATAATGCGAACAGAAATTCTCGGTGGGACAAAGCGAGGAGGATTTCTTGACGAATAATTCTCTGCGACATCTCGTCGCGTTAGCTTACTATACAATGTGACATGTTAAAATATGTATGCACGTGTAATCTACACACACACACATATATATATATATATATATATATATATATATATATATATATATATAAGATAGAATGTCTCTGTCTGTATGCCCCACATAAACTCCTAAACCCTTTGACCGATCTGGACGAAATTTTGCATAGTTATTCCCCTAGGGTTCTACGGAAAGTATAGGCTGCCTATGAAACCTGGACACCCCATCCCCTTTCATCCCCTGAATTTCATCCTCTCGGCACTTTGTGATAACCCGGGCGACGTCCCGGGTACTTTAAGCTAGTATAAAATATATCTCTCTGGTATCACGAAGATAATTTCGCAGTTGTGCGAATCGCAATTTTTACTCTAATGCATATACCTCCTTCCTAAAAATTGCATGATCGCGTTGGTGCGCGTGTGTGTATGTACGTGTAGGCGGTTGTTAATCTTCACGAATATAAGTATCTCTAACGAGTATATCCGACACTGTCGTACTCACGTGGTAACTCAGCGTGCTTACGACATCAGGACGACACGCACGTCCCTCCGTACGTTCTTACAGCCGTAAGTACTGGTCGAAGGCACTCGGGTGAATTAGTCCTACCTATGGCAATCGGTTCGCTTATATATTATTCAACTTCTCCTTCTCTTCCTCCTCGGCCACCTGCACCGTCATCGCGACGTTGTTGCTGCTCGCGACCCTTGCTTTACCACCGAGGCATGTGGTGAAGCAGGTGTCGCCCTTACCGAAGTTCTCCCCGTCCTCGATACTCTCAGGCATCGGTTGGTTCAGCGTTTCCGGCAAGTAAAGCGCCAAGAAGCCGGCCACCAGAGCGACCACTCCGAAGAGTACAGCGGGTACTTTCGGATTCAACGAGTCCAGCAAGAAAATCATGGGTGTGAGCGCACCGCTCAGTCGAGCGCACATCGAGCCGATGCCAAGCGCAGTGTTCCTCACCACCGTGGGGAACAGTTCGGCCGTGTAGTTGTAGACCACTGCGAACGAGCCGGCCACGCAGGCTTTGCCGATCATCACTATCGTGACCGTGATGGTGGACGCGATTTCGCTGGCGGCGGGAATGTTGGCCGCGCAGATGCAGCATGCGCCGCCAATCAACAGCAACGTGCTGCCTAGGCATCTCTTGCCGGTGCGGTCCATCGTGAAGATCACCAGGACGTATGCCGGCAGCTCGACGAGCCCGCTGAGGAACAGCATGACGAACGGATTGCCGACGAGGTTGCCCATATTGAGTGACAGTCCGTAGTAAACGATGGAGTTGGCGAACCAATTGAGGCAGACGATCAGGCTCTTCTTGCGGAGATTCGGGGTTCTGAAGAGATCCAACGTGCCGTGCGAAGACTTGTCTGTCTTGGTCTCTTGTTGCGCTCGTGCTCGACCCACCAACTTGGCCGCGTCCATCTTCACGTCGCTTCCGTTCACCTTCAGCGCTCGCTGCACGATGATGATCGCTTCAGACGCGCGATCATGCGCCCACAGCCACCTGGGCGACTCGTCCATCAGCCACCAGTGACCGATCAGGAGTAAACTGTGCGCGCCGTACACGATCTGCAGCCACATGCGGTCTTTGATGACGACACCCCACGCGGCTACCAACATGAAACCCGCGGCGAAGGCCAGCTGGAACAACACGCCGCATACGGTTCTCCGGGACGGGCCAACCATCTCCATGGTCAACACGAAGCCGGTGATGTAGGCGCCGGCGGAGCCAAAGATGCCGTAGAGGAAGCGCAGTGTCAAGAATACGTAATAATTGTTCATGAGCGCGACCGATACTCCGAGCACCAGCTGCGCCACCGCGGACACGTAAAACACGATCTTCCTGCCGTATGTGTCGGCTAAGCTGCCCAATGACAAAGAGCCTGCGAATACGCCGATCATGTAGGTAGACTGCGCCAAGGAACCCATCCAACGCTGCGAGCACACAAAGTTCCATTCCATGGCTCGTGACGACTGAAAGTACGTAGTGTCATACGTCCAAGAGTCGCACTCTCGAGTGACGTTGTTCTGGTCCAGGTAGTGGCAGCTGTCGATGGCTCGCGGCAGGTACTCTGAGGTGAGCGACGAGTTGTTATCGAAGGTGCCGAGGGAATTGCTCACCCAAGGGGAAGACGACAGGTTTGCGCCCGGGATGTTGCACTGATGCGGCGGCACCGCCGCCACGGTCAGCAATGACAGCATATGCAAGCCAGCTAGAAGGGCGCCGAGCAGATGGAGGCAGTATTGTCCGAACTGATACTTGCCGAACTCGCCCATATAGGACATCAGTTCCTCGAGATCCCTGTCGACGCTCGCCATATCGCTGATTCGTTGCGATCACTGGTGCTGGGAGAATTACTGGAACACCCTGCGGATGATGTTCGCGACTTGTCGTTGATCGTCTTCCGGTTATGTGTCGCGTACGTTTCCGCTGGAAGAACGTTTGAAACTGTAGATATTTATTAAACGGCTCGCTGGGATTGCGAAACTCAAGCGCGGAGTTAGAAAACGCGTGTTGCTTTATATACACTCGATATCGCGATAAATTGTCGTGTCTCGTGACTTTTGTCGGTCAATAAATTACTTTTCTTTATCATCGCGGCACGCAATCTCCTCAACGTTCCATTCGTTCAGATCTTCATGTTTTTGAAGTTGAATGTTTTGAATTTATCGAATAAGAAGTGTGTTGCTAAATTGTTTTTCACGCGCGCAATGGACTAGACTATTTAAAATCGTCGATTGAGTAATTGATAGAAATTTTGATTGCGACGTTGGATCCGTATGTCTTTCACACATGAATTGCAACAACCACTCCGCCTTCCCAACTGCGTTCGCGTAAATTATATTTGACCTTTTTGCTGCGCGTTTTGCAGACAAATGCTAACGCGCGCTATTTCCACTGTACTCGACTAGAAACGCCCAGTTTGTTAAAAAAAAAAGACTTGAAAATTAGTTCTCCACAATCGTTTCTTTGTCCGACGGAGACGCGGTTTCTCACAAACGGGAACATTATGCTCGTAGATTTTACCAGAGAATTATTGCGAAAGACGAAATGAAAAAACGACCGTTACGACACTGCGCAGACCGCAAAATTCCATATTTCGACGATTTATATCCGCGTTTCTTCGTTGGACGCAACTTGGACCAATTTGAACTCGAACTTCTCTCGACTCAGCGCGAAGTCGACTTGCGAAAAAAAGAAATCGCGGTGTAGATCGACGTGAAGAGAATCGGTACCTCGATTTCGCTTGCATTCGCAGCATCCACTATCCACCAGGATGTCACGGCGTGGGCCGAGAAGCGGAATGTTGGCGTGTCGACGATCGGTGAATCCGCCGACGCATTGGGGTCTCGATGCGAACTTGGGGCCGTGCGACTGATCGCGCGAGCCGTCACCACTCTAATGTCAGCGCCGAGCTGGAGAACGACTGGTTCGCCAACCTGAGTTCGCGAGAGACTGGACGATTCCTTGTAGACAACGGAGCTCTGTGCAGCACGTACTTAGCGAAATTCACTGCCCTTGCACGCACACCGTCACACGCGGGACTTCGCCGCACGACTTCTCATGTGGATTCCCCCGGACCGGTGAATTCCGATCGTCAAGACGTGACGTCCGGGAAAGAGCGTGCCGCTAGATCGCGCCGTCTTATCGGTCAGTGACGACCATAATAGTCGGCCGTATAGTAATCGTCGCTGCCTGTAAAGTGATAAAAATGCAATCGCCACATCGTTTGAGGCTAAACACAACCGACTTCGCGTGACTTTACGTTCAGGCTACTGCACTTGCGGTTACTGTCGCCATTGCAGGCGCCTGCAGAAGCTTTCCTCGTGAAATGTCACGCCGGTATCTCATCTGGGTGAAGGACTCGGAGAGGAATTAGGAAAAAATCTCGTGACGTTGTCGACTACGCTGACACTCATTGAATATTCTAGAGTTATTTTAGAGTTGATACTCTAGAATTATTCGGTCTTAATAATTGTAGTTTCACACATATAGTTTTATTAAAGTATTTGATCGCCTGACTGATTAATTATAATTAATATAAGACATTTCTTCCTCGCATATCGTATATTTTATTGTCATTAGGTCATCGAGCAATCATTTTGCTGTTAAATCTATATTACGATTAGACAAATGATGCTTCATTCTCTGATTAGATTAAGTCAAACACAAACGACAGGTTTAACAGCCGTGAAATATACAAAAAGAAAATCTTTGTATAGTGAAGGAATTAAAGAGGAATTAGAAAGTACAAATTAGAGGAATTAGGAAGAAAATTTCGTGATGTTGTCGACTATACTCATTGATAATTTAGAGTTGTTGATTATGTAAACGATTAGATAAACAATACCTTATTTTGTGATTAGATTAAGACGAACGTAGCGTAGATTTAACGATAGTAAAATAGTTTCTCGATCTAACGACAGTAAAATGTACGATATGTAAGAAGGAAACGTCTCGGCCGATATATTTTCGCTTAAAATATATATTGCACTTTCATTATCTTGTGTTAATTATTTCTCATTATCTCATATTAATTATAATTATTAAGTCAGTCGTGACAGGCTATGATGGTCGAGTAGTTTGTTGAAACTTTGTTCAACTTTGTTGTGTGAAACTGTAATTATTAAGGCCGAATAATTTACAAGCGCGTTACATGAGAAAATGCAAGATAGCATAAACGAGGACTTCGCACGATCGCTTTTATTTGTAACGTTATTATTATCTGACCGGTTGTTTGCGAAAATGTGACACTTCGTGATCGTTACTTCGTCGAGCACGCGCCTCAGTTGCGATCTTTTTAATATTCGCATCTTCGTAATAACAATATATTTAATGATAATCTATTTAATATAATCTATTTAATGATAATTAAATAACAATCTATTTAATGATAGACCAGAATAGAGATTGTGCTTTCGCGAAAATCTGGAGGTGGTAGAGGCGGGAGCGATCGTACGTTGCGAAGTTGTTTCGTCGTCTGGAAAGGGAAACCGTCGAACATCGCTTGCAAAGTCGATTCTTGCTTGCGATTCCTATTGCTTGCGATTCCGTATATATGCACATTGAAATTACGACGAAAACAACACGTTGCAAGAGCGAGCAATCACGACTGAAATTACCGCGAGGACTCGCAGCTCGCTCGGAACGCCGTTTAATCGCAGGAATAATTTCCGTTATGATATCCGATAATAACGACTGGTATATACCTCAAGGAAAATCTACGAAACTAGTTGACCTCGTAGTATTGTTAAGTGGAGCCAACCTGGCAATTGATTAATCGCCTTGGACCAAGACGCACACAACCAAGACAATATATTCACGCACACAACCGCACGTCATGAAGAATCACACGAACGTGCTTGTCTTAGGAATACTTCAACTTGAGCACGCTTGCGGTCTAACGCCTATTTATGTCACGCGTTCCCACGGTAGCGATCGCGTCCCATTGAGAATTAATCATATCGCCTTTGTCATGAATTCATCATTTTCGTTACACCACGTTATCAATTTTTGATAATCGATCCGTCGATATTGCGCGACGTCTGGCTCATCTTCATCTTCAGATGATCGTTTTATTGGCTACGAAATATCTGAAGATAAACTTAAGACAGTCTTAAATACAAAATTCAGCTATGAATATCGCCAAGAACTTCCATACGGATTTTATGACTAAAATTTGATTCTATGAACCAGAAATTCCGTTTTTTTCAATCAAAACGTTTTGTTCATTACAACAAAACCTTTTTTTCTTTTGTATGTATTGATCGAGTATAGAATCTATCTACTTGGTACTCTATTCCGGCGTTTTCGAGATCTTACCTTTATGTAACCGCAGCCTCTAGTGAGACGGTGTTTACGCGCGAATGCCTCGTTCTTTATTAACGCTATCAAGGAAACAGAGTTCTGCTGGGAGCTCTCTGTCACAAAACCTTAATTACACGAGATATCGTGGAATGATTAACGAGAATTGCGCACACACAGTTCCCGATGAAAATTTGTACACGCCCATCCGTCGCGTTCAAATGTTCGCGCGGCTTTGGGCCGATTTCTTCGCGATCGTCGTATCACACCATGTCACAGTGACACTCCTTGCGACTCAGCTCCTCTTCGAAGAGTGCTCGAGCGCGTAACATCGAAGACACGTACATACGTGCATCCCACAAAAAGTCACGTCGAAATTGCCAATAGCCTCGAATGCGGAGGCGGAAGCGGTCAACTAATTATCAACCTCAAATGAGTAATTGTTTCGCCACTGCGTCCACTGTCACTGTGTCGTGCTCGTCGCTGGGCGTGCAGCGTAGCTGGGCGCTGCTCGGCGATCTTGATACTCCTAAATTTCCAGCGGCGACATATTGCTTGTTGGACCCACATCAATTAGGCGCGCGTTGCGCGACTCACGCCCTTGACATTGCTGAACTGCCATCGCAGCGAGACGATAATCGTCAGAGTGGGCGAAACGTTGTCGTGTCGCTCCGAAGAAACGCGCCACTCGTCTGGTCGCGGCGACGGACGAAATGAGATCGGGAGCGCAATCGAATCCAAAGGGTCGTTTTCCGCAAGGTAGATGCGGTAACTGTGGTAACTGCGGTAATCGCGTGTGCTCGCCCGTCGCTCGTCCGCCGAGTGAGAGTACACGTTCTTAACGAAGGACGAAGCAAGGTAGAAACACCAATGCCTAGACACTATTTATTCTATTCCTGAACAGTCTTACGGTCTTGCCCTTTGGATCTGGTGTTTACGTCTGTTTATGTAGAACTATTTAAATATTCAACATAGAATATATGTATACATTCAATACATCTCGTTACGCGAACTCGTTCGCTCGTATCCGATTCCGCGAGGAAAACGAACGACGCGTTTGTGAAATAACGAAGAACGTTAAATCATGCTTGATTTATGTCTCTTATGACTACGATCTCGCGCTATTCACGTGACGGCCCCCGGCTCAGAAGCCCGTCCGTGACTTTCTCGTCAGCTGTTGTTTTTCTTTCCCGTCGGAAGAGGGTTGGTGACAGCTGACTTCATCGAGCGCTTCTCACAATGCTCGGCTCGACATCAGAGCACGGATGTAATGCATATACATCTTCTTTATACGTTGGAATTTCAGGTATTTGTATTTTGAAAACCAGAACAGTGTCTAGGGTTTAGGTGCGGGTCCAAGTATCAGTGCTTTTATCTCACTCGCAAAGACACGGCAGTCGCGAACTGGATCGGCTTCACGGATGATCGGCGACTGTTCGATCTAAGCGTGCTTTCTTTTCTCAAGGCATGTGAAGGTCGTGCTCTTCTATGTGTTAAATATACAGGGTGAATATTATATACCGGAACACCTGAATATCTCGAAAACAAAGCGTTGTATAAAAAAATGTTAAGTACAAAAGTTGTAGGGTTTAAAAAGATCTATTTTATGATATTAGCAGTTTGACCTTGAGTTGCGTCATAAAGATCAGGTCAAGGTCACAATGATGTTTTTAAATGGATACCCCCATTTTTTATTGTATATTCTTGTAGCTTATCTCGAGAGCTTTCCAAAACACTATACTTAAGTATTTTTTCGTTAAGTACTTTTCGAGTTAAGAGGCTTCAAAGTTACGCTCTTTAGCATTAGCGCGCGGCCGATTAAGGCAAGAGGAAAATCATATCCGGCCGATTAAGGTAAGCTAAGGCAGAGAAAAACGTAAACACAAGCGCGGTAAACGAGAGCTGCCCTTGCGTTTACGTTTTTTAGGCCATCAGCCTTACGCTATTTACTATTAATACGAGCGCGCGTTCGTGCTCGTCACTACGGTATCCACGCGCGCTAATGCTAAAGAGCGTAACTTTGAAGCCTCTTAACTCGAAAAGTACTTAACGAAAAAATACTTAAGTATAGTGTTTTGGAAAGCTCTCGAGATAAGCTACAAGAATATACAATAAAAAATGGGGGTATCCATTTAAAAACATCATTGTGACCTTGACCTGATCTTTATGACGCAACTCAAGGTCAAACTGCTAATATCATAAAATAGATCTTTTTAAACCCTACAACTTTTGTACTTAACATTTTTTTATACAACGCTTTGTTTTCGAGATATTCAGGTGTTCCGGTATATAATATTCACCCTGTATGTTAAATCCAGGCGGTCGCTGCTTCGAAGAGTTCGCACATATATTATTCCCGCGAATGTATTAGAACCGTTAATATTACCATTAGACCGCAGTTACGGTACGTCGCGTATGTCGAACGCGACGGCGCGACGATCATCCATCCGCGAGATAAGCTACCCGTTGCATACGCAAATCGTCTCTGTTAGTAAAGCAAGACAAGAGAGAAAATCGCGAGATGAAATTCGCGTCACGACGCGACGAAAAATGCGCTCCGTGTTCGAACAGTCTCGCGCGGGCAACTAGATATACCGTCCTGTTACTCTGACAAAATGACGTTTCAAGGTAACTTTCATAATAATAGCACGTAACGAACTGGATCGGTACTTTTCGCGCGCTCGACCGAGTGCAAATTAAAAGATGCTAATTTCCGACACGCCTTGAATCAAGTCACTTATTTGCTCGTTGCGATATAAAAACGGTTTGTCCATGTGCGTTGCCGATGACGTACATGGAAAAGATTTAAAGACAATTATATAATATAAATGTACATAAATATATACAATATAGGGTGCAACATGAAATTATATAACATTATTAATCGTGCTCAGAGAAAAAAGTTGTATTAACGTGAAATTTGCTTTTGACGAACGCACCAACACATTTTGATTGAAGAACATAGAGGCCGGTATGTGGATATATAGTCAGATTTTTTATTTAAAATTATCTCAAGTTCACTAAATGCTATTCTATTAGTTCCATTCGCTGCGAAATATCTGAAGATAAACTCAAGACCGTCTTAAATACAAGATTAATGAATATCACCCGGAATTCCTGTGCGGTTTTTGTGACCCCAATTAGTTTCTAAGAATCAGGAATTCTATCTTCTTCAACAAAAATACGTGTAGTTTTGTTCATTATAACCAAACATTTTTTCCTCTACATATATTGATCAATTATATAGAATTTATTTATTTGAAGCCCTATTCTGGTTGCGTATCGAATGCTGAATATACCTTTCTGGTTCTCAAACCGAGGCAACGTTACACGTGACGTTCGTGCTAGAAAAACGGGACTTGAAATTAAAAGGACACACTTAATATTCGCCGTGCATCCACAATAAAGTCTCTGATCGAATACATTATCAACGTGATTTCTTCGTGTTCTCCGAAGTTGAATTCGTTATTTTCCGTTTGCGAATGCAACGTCGAATGAAGAATAATATTTTGACAGAAGCGAATTTGTTTCTGCTATAAACACACGTAGGCAATCGTTGCTGTTATCAGAGAAGACAGTTATCGCCATATGCGCGTATTCTCGAATGGCAGAGCCACGGCGCACAAAGGGACTGGTTGGAGGATATTTAAATTGGAAATGGCAAATATTCCCGAGATATTCAGCGCGTAATGTAAGAAAGGCGGGTTCGTGATTATTATTGAGTGCGAGTAAACGGGAACAAATTAAAATGTTCGCTTTAACCGCGCTGTAATTCAGTAGAAACGTGCCGGGTCGCGTTTGAACTCTCCCCTCGATTGTTACCCCGCGTGAGTTATTCATTGCGTTACTCGTTAGTCGCGTTTAATATTGATTGTCGCGTTAATATTAATCATACATTAACAGATTCGATTATGTGTACAGCCGCGAATTATTCCGGGAAACAAGTTCGAACGAAGCCAAGAGTGACGCGAGCACGGAAGATACTTAACGTGTCGGGAAATGTTTAATCAGTTTCGGAGGTTTGATAAGTGAAACGCGCGTGATATGTGTTAAAATTCTTACTGCGATATCGCATAAGATTCCGGCGCGTCATTTCAAACCAAAGTCGGCTGCAAAAGATAATTACAAAATTTAATAACTTGATATTCCAATATACAAACAATGTCGTGCGAGCGACTCAATTTTGACAGCTGTTGCGCTCGAGCGCGCAAGAGAGAAATAGATAGATAGAGAGAAGGAGAGAGAGAGATAGACAGCGTTCGAGAGCATTGAGCGGTGTGCATGAGCGATTACACTGTTGTTTTCTCACTATATCAACGTCGCATAAATCATCAAGATATATGCTGTGACTGGAGCTTCATTTTGATAGGATTTTATTAGGCGGCGCCGCGCGCAGTCGCGCTCAAGGTAACCTGTCATTTTTCCCCCTTTCTGGCGCCAGCTAAAATGTACCTGAGGCGTAATTTTATTAGGAAAATATGGATTTATTTCAAGACGTGCTCGCGATCCTCCACGGAATATGCGCCACTGCAATTCGATATTCCGCCGTATATATATATCAACCCACCTTAAGGTCTGGTATCTCCAGACTCGATTCATTTTGCACGCGCGCGCGATCATCCGCCTTGTCTCCTCCCGAATATTTTTAGCTCTGACAATGTATCGTTTATTATTTCAAATCTCGCAGTTGCTTTTTATTATTCTTGACCGAAAGCACTTACGCGAAACGGTAGAAAGCAAGAGAATATAGTGCAGTTGTTGCATGATTAATTTATTATGTTATTATGTTATGTTGTGTTATGTTATGTTGTATTATTTATAATGCCTAGATCCAGTGCTTCTCCGAGCAAGATTCAATCAATAGATTGTTTAGATCTTTGAAATAGCATCAGTACACGGGGAGAATTTTCCTTTTTATATATACTATTTATTTCAGGAACTGAAACATGCTGTTAAAAGTTTGCTAGGTTTTCAGCAAAATTTACTATTATTTTAAATCTCGCAGTTGCTTTTTATTATTCTTGACCGAAAGCACTTACGTGAAACGGTAGAAAGCAAGAGAATATAGTGCAATTGTTGCATGATTAATTGTTATTTACAACGCCTAGATCCGAGCAAGATTCAATCAATAGATTGTTTAGATCTTTGAAATAGCATCAGTACACGGGGAGAATTTTCCTTTTTATATGTACTATTTATTTCAGGAACTGAAACATGCTGTTAAAAGTTTGCTAGGTTTTCAGCAAAATTTACTATTATTTCAAATCTCGCAGTTGCTTTTTGTTATTCTTGACCGAAAGCACTTACGTGAAACAGTAGAAAGCAAGAGAATATAGTGCAATTGTTGCATGATTAATTGTTATTTACAACGCCTAGATCCAGTGCTTCTCCGAGCAAGATTCAATCAATAGATTGTTTAGATCTTTGAAATAGCATCAGTACACGGGGAGAATTTTCCTTTTTATATGTACTATTTATTTCAGGAACTGAAACATGCTGTTAAAAGTTTGCTAGGTTTTCAGCAAAACATGCTATGTTCCTTAGCGAGATAGAAATCTTGTCGATACTTTATTCCTGCATCACTAGGAATGTGATAAAATTGAAAGAAACTTATATGAAAAGGAAACTATAATATTTTTCCCGTGTACATTCTTTATTCAGTCTTCGTAGAGTTAAAGTATATATTTTGCGCCTGTACCAGAATGTAGCGCGCTTGTTACATCAATTGCCGAATTTTATGACGAGCGAAAGTTGTGCACAGTGACGAAGGCGCCGTATGTCGCAACGAAATTTCGGCATTCTCGGGTCACGAAAACGAAAGCGCGATATCGACCGAACGATCGTGACTGTCTGACATAGCACTGAATCGTCCATCTCATACTTCAAGTCTAAGAAAAAATCGACATTTCATTTTCCTCCAGTCATTAATCGGTGAATTCCCGCGTGCAGGTGTTTTCCCAGTCGCGGTTCGCCGAACGAGAACGCAACGATCGCGGAATTTTAAATGTTAATGAAATTTTAAATGTACTTTTAAATGGCGTATAAATCACGCAGCGGTGCTGCGCCGGGTCGCGATTTTAAGATGGCAATTTCTCTCTTCCTTTGGACTATAAATTCTAACGCGAGTCATCAGTCCGCTCGCATGCTCCATTAAGAGAGATACGCGCTCGGGCGAATACGGGGAAAAATACGGCGAAAAATCGTTCTCACGGCAACAGATCCGTCGCATATGCCCAAGAGACGGCGTCTCTCTCGTTCGGCCGCAGGATAATGATGATACAAATAATGACAATGTATTTTCGCTCGGCAGCGTCGCGCAGAAATATTCGCAGACGGAGGCGGTAGGCGAGCGCGAAAGAGAGGCGCTTGAACTTACTTGCTGCTCAGCAGAAGGTAATGCGGAAGAAGACGGGGACACGAACGGAGCGAAATTTCAGCGCTGCTTGACGGAATGCGGGTCAGACGTAAACGCGGGATCGGCTTGCCAGCGAATAGAATCTGGAACGCCGTGGCACTCTCTGGCGCGCGTGTGGCGCGAACTCGTCGGCGATAATGGAAAAGCTATGTTGACTACGGACGATACGGACCGTCTCGTTGTACATATGCGTTGTAAAAAAAAAAAAAAGGAAGAATTTGGACGCGCGGGGATCGCGAATATTCCGGAAACAGGCTGGAAATTCATCTGCGCGGTCTCCTGAAAACAGACGATTTCACTATCGTAAGCGCGACTGTTCTACCTGGACAAGTGTTATGAGACTATATTTGCAAAGGTTCCCGCTCTCAGAACAATTCTGACTTCCTTAGAAAACATAATAGAGAAATCGAGACAATAATCGAACGATTCCGATCGGACAGCTTCCTGAATAGTCTCGCAACATCCGCCCAGGAAGTAATCGCGGTTCCGATAATGGAATCATTTATTTGAAAAAGAAATTCAGACTATAGGAGAAGGACTGACAAATAGTTGCACGCAGAATGGGCAACTTCTAAATGTAAATGTGGAGTACCATGAAAAAAGTCGACCGGGAGAGTCGGAGAATAAATTCGTATCAAGGATTCGGGAAGCTTTCCACTCAGAATAATCCTCTGTGTCTTCTACAGAAAACATAATAGAAATCTAAGGAATAATCGAACGATTTCGATCGGAAAGCTTTTTCCGAACAGTTTAATAACGCGACTTTCGTCACCAACTAGGTTAACTCTTTTGGCATTCAGTCTACATTTAGAAGTTCCTTTCTGCATGTGATTTTGTAAGTTCTTTCTCTGTAGAGCTTTTATTCTTTTTTTATTTATTTGCACACTCCTATTCCGCGGATTTATTTCATATTTTATGTACACTAAAAATTTCTTTCCCTCTCTCTTTCTCGCAATTAATGAATATTATTATTATTATTATAATCGCTCTGATATGAAGTAAACGCGCGAAATTCTTGGAGCCGAAGAATTCGCGTTATGACTTGGCGCGACAAAATCATTATTATTTCTCAGCTGTTGTCGTGCTCGCGTTGTTATCACTATCGAGTTATATAAGCGACATGGTGTCAGCTTTAGCGAATTGAGCATTTTTATAAGCAGCCACGATTAAGTCCACGATTACGAGTAACGGATTCTA